TGGTGTGTGTTTAGCATGGTCTCAAAACTGCAGGCCAGATACTGGCATAAATCAGCATTGCTTCCTCTGCAATTTTAGGATTGTTTAGCCCATTTCCACTAGGTGAAGCTTTTGCTTTGAGGATTTTATGTTAACTTTCAGGCTTGGGAAATTGCTAACTTTGGGAAGGCTCCAGCTGACTCTGAAATCAGGAAGCAAAAAAGCAGGGAATGCATGAGGGGCTGCTTTCTGACTCCTTAAGCAGCTGGCAAGTTTTGCATGTGCTACCTCAAGTCCTTAAGAATTAGAAACCCATCATCAGCAAAGTGGCTGGGGTTTTTTTCTGTTGAAGCAGAAATGGGCTTTGAGTATAACACTGGGTACAATGTAATGTCTGTACAGCTGTTTGCTGCTTTTCAGTCAAAACCCTTGATCCCCAGTAATTCACACAGCACTAAGCAGAAAATGTTCTATGAAAATATTTGAAAATGTTGGAAGGAGCCCAGTCTAAAAGTACTGCATGCACCTGTAGATGCAGAAGGTGTCAGCAGCTTGTTTTCAGAGGCTGCATTTTACAACATATTCTCAACAGTCTGGGGTTCTGCAAAAGAGCCAGCAGTGCTGAAAGCTGCTGTATCTGTGGCCTGATTAACTTTATATTAGACATTTTCTTCTTATAACAAGTTGTTTCTGGTTGTTCTTTTTTTTTTCTTAGGATAAAAGTAGGTTTTACCTGTGCTAAATATGTACCTGTTTTTGGGGGTTTTTTTTCTGAAGACTTATCCTATTTTCTCTCGATGTTTCTTTTGTAGGAGAGAAGCCGTTTTCCTGTCCTCACTGCAACAGGGCTTTTGCAGACAGATCCAATCTGAGGGCTCATCTGCAGACCCACTCAGATGTGAAGAAATACCAGTGCAAAAATTGCTCCAAAACTTTCTCCAGAATGTCTCTTCTGCACAAACATGAGGAATCTGGCTGCTGTGTAGCACACTGAGTCATGCAGTCAATGTTTACCTGGACTCAATGCATTTCTCCACTTCTGTTCCAAATGATAAGTGGAAATCCAAAGGCGTTTTCTTGTCTACTTTTCAGCCAAAAAAAAAAACCCAAAAACCCAAACCGAAAAACAAAGAAACCAAAACACCACCAAACAAGAAAATAAACTAGTGGAAGAACTTAGAATGTCAGTAGAAATGAGCTTTAAGTAGTTTCTGTTCTGCCATACCATTTGCATTCTTAAGTGTGAATTCTGAAATAGGGGGAAAGACGCCATGCATGACATTTCAAGTAGATCTAAAGGAAGAAGCATTATCAGCTTTCTTTATAGATGAAGCCAAATGTATGTCATCTTTTCTTGCTTAGAAAAGGCTTCAAAGTTAACAATACATTCCTGCCAAGCCATTTCAACCAAAGAAACAGTATTTTAAGTGGAAATTTTAATGAAAATACTACCCAAATCAATTTTGCTAGACACCATTTATCTCAGGTGCCTTAAAAAGTATTCCAAGTTTACCTTAGTAAATGTTTAATATTATTCATTGCTGTGTTTTTTTTATTTTATTTTATTAGAAGCCAAGGCCTTCATTAATGACCTGAAATGCTTTAAAACTGCATAACTAAAAGAGGGAAAAAAGTATAAGAGAATGTATGAAAAAATTAAAAGCCACAAATTAACTGCATGTGCCTTAAAAAATAAATAAATAAAAAAAGATAATACTGTAGCTTCAAACATTCCTGGTGCATGCTTGACCATTCTTTAATATGGAATAGTTCCTCTAAACTTCATTTTTGTTTTAAAAAACGGGAATAAGTGCAAGAGAGGGGATCCATGGGAGTTTTACAATTATTTTTTTTTAAAATGCACAAAGGAAATGCAATATTTTCAGCATTACCCCTCCAAGTGCCTTTTTTATTGATGATTTTGTAAAGTATGTGGACATAATGTAAATATTTTTATTTTTATATGATTGAATGTGTTATGAATGAAAGCAAATTGTTGCCCATAGCAGCATCTATAGATAACTTGAAGAAAGTGTGAAGTGAAATTGATGTTGTTTTCTAGCCACTTTTTTACAATAAACATTTTTAAGTAAGATTTCTGTTGTTTTGTCTAATTAAACAACTGTGTGCGTGCTTTGGAACATAGAAAAATGTGAATGTCTCTGCATGACCAAATGAAGACAAAGGTGAATTTCAGGTGTGAATATTTACTCCACAAGTTCTAAACATTAGAAAATAATATATATGTTGCATTTTAAAAGATTTTTAATCTTGCAGCACATTTTCCTAATTTGTGCTTTAAATCACTTACTTTTCCCTTGCAACAGCCTGACAACATTGTGAGATATATTTTATCAAAAACATTTAAAAGCAATGCATTTTTCTTGCATTTTAACAGATGAAAGGATGTTATTAGAGAGGCCTTATAGTACTTCCCCTGAGACTTTCACATCAGGGAATATGGGCCTGATCCAAAATTCATTAAAGTCAGTGGAGCCTTACAGGAGTTCAGCAATGTTTGCATGATGCTCTTTTAAAGTAGTAGTCAAGTCACAGTACAATATACTTTATATAGCAATTTAAAGATGATTAAAGATATTTTATTAAAATGTCATACATATCAGAACTATCAAGTGAATGCATTACAACTGTGTATCAGCTAATATATCACAGGAAAGAAATTATTCCGTAATAAAAAAGTAGAAATCTTTTTTCTTCAGGTGATTTGACTAAGTACTCCAAGACCTGAACTACATGAAAGTATTACAACTTCAACAAGTCATGTCTCATCGTTACTGACTGGTGTGAAACAACACCATTTTCAACTTTTAGCAAAGTACAAAGCTAGAGAACAGACGAGCATCAGCTGGCATCCAGTCTGAAGACCCTTATGGCTGCACTAAGGTGCCAACCAGAACAAATAATAGCAAAAATAAAATTCCAACAATTTACCAAGAATGTTGATGAACATTTATTGAAAAAAGTATGTTTCAGCAAAATAATGCATTAGATCATACATGTCTTCTGACTCCTCCAGCCCAGTTCTGGAGGAGGGCTTTTCAGCAGGACTGCACTGGAATAATGCAGGCAATAGGCAGAAGTTTTGAACCTTTTCTCCACAGAAAGCATGATATTGAAAAATGAAGCTCAAATGAAGCTTTTGTATTCTCCAAGCGTTATAACAATGATTCCCTAGGACCTGATTTTTTTTTTTATTTTTTTTTTTATGAAATAGCTGGAGAGTTCAAGAAAGATAGAGTTAGTGGGAATTTGTGAGGTAACATTTCAAAATGAACACATGAAGGCATCAAATACCCTTGAAAAGTTTCATGTGGTTTCTCTATTGATTTACACTTCCATGTCATTCACTTTGAAGTTTGTAGGCTCCAGCAGCTCTTTGTGCAGTTCCTTCTTCCCAGAGCAAAGTTTACTGGAGTATGAGTAAAGCTCTGGCAGTCAACAGCTATTTGTACTGTTCTAGGTTTGCTCTCCTGTGCTGTGCCACAAAGATGTTTCCATTGTTTTAATTCACACTTCAAATTCTCTACACCCATAGTAAATTAAACAGTGTAAGAGCTTGACTTGAGTGAGTGGAAATGCTACTGCTGTCCTCAAGGGAAATCTGATGAAAACTTCATCAAAATACAGTATGCTAAACCAAACACAAGTGGAACTGGTCTGATTTGGAGATGACAATTAAGATATGCTACTTTGCATGCCTGTAACACCTGTACTCATAAAACACAAAGATGGGAAAGGCTAGAAGCTCTTTTGGCTCATCTTTGTAATTGAAAGAGAGAACTCTGTCACAGATCCCAGCTCTCTGTCCAGTTGCAGCATAAACTTCCCAAGCAGCTAAATTTCTCTGCTTTTCCTGTGTGACTGCTTTCTACTCCCTGTCAAGACTTTCTTCAAAACATATCTCATTAATAGTTTTACCTCATTACCTTAGAAATGCCCTTCTGCACCTGCACAAGCTATTTATCAATGTAAATTGAATTCTGTTCTGAGCTGCTGGTTGATGACTCCTATGACTTTCTCAACAAACGATGCTGAAGCTCCCTCCAAGGTCAAACATTTTTCACAACATATTTCTTATTCTATATAAGATTATAAAAATAATCATTTAAACTTTTAAAATCTTTCTTAGGGAAACATGGTCCCTGCACTCTGAATATCCTCACTGCTTCTTTTCTGAAATCTGTCACTTTTTTTTACTTTTTTTTTTTTTATTTTTTTTTTTTTTACAGAATGTGGTCCAGGCCCTTCCTTTAGGTTGTTCTGTCAACCTACTTTCGATGTTCTTTCAGTGTTCAGAGAAGAGTAAAATCACCTCAGCACTTATGAAGCTACAAGTTAAATCTATTAATTTCTCAAGGCTGAAGGCAATAATTGATTCACTTTGGTTTTCATGTCTTTCTTCCCTTGCTTCTGTTTGGGCACGCTTTTCACTACAGAGGCTGCAGAATGAAGGGAGATGTGCATGCAATGAAGACAGAACAAAGTACACTGTTAGGCTCTAAGCACTGCAATTATCCTTCCATGTAATGCAGAGTTAGGAAAAGCATGTTATACACTCATCAAAGGGTTAAAAGAAGGGCCTTTCAGATTAAGACACCATTAAATCTTTCTTCTGTATTTTGCTCTATTATTTGGATTACTATAGTTCCTATTGTCATTAAGTAAACTCAGGGCCTATTACTCTAAGCCCCATAAAATCATATAAAAATGAAACACTGGAAAGATCCAATAATTCAAATTAAAAAGAAAACAATGGGAAACCTGGTAATTTAATTCTGATGTCTTGTGCTACAGCTGATTTCCCCTGCCACAAAATTAATCAATGCTTAATTTGAAAACATTTTATTATTTTTGAATAAGACATTTTCAGTTACAAGTATTATTGCTTTGGAAATAATGGGTTTTACTATCTGTCCCAAGTGCTTGGTTTTGTCTCTTTGAAGTAGGTATTCTAAAAGTTAAATTATATTAATTATAACTCTGATTCACAGAAATATGAGTGGAAGGTGAGAAGTGCACTCCAACCTGCACATATTGTAGTATCAAATGATAGCTGCAAGAAATAAGAACAGATTGTTTGAGTGAATCATGGATCATGGAATGTTTGAGGTGGGAAATCACCTCTGCATTATTGACTAGTTCAACCCCCCTGCTCAAAACAGGGTAGGGAAAGCAGTTTACCCAGGACTGTGTCCAGATGGGGTTTTGATATCTCAAAAAATGGAGACCCCAGGACCATTCCAGACAACCTGTGCCAGTGTTCAGTCACATTTATGGTGCCAAAATGCATTTAAATGGAATTTTCTGTACTTCAGATGGTGTGCACTGCCTCTTTTCCTGTCACTGGGCAGCACCAAGAGTCTGACTGTATTCTTCACTCACATCAGGAATTTATACACATAAATAAGATCTTCCTTGAGCTTTTTCTTTTCAAGAAATCTCAGTGACTCCAACATGAGAGATGCTCCAGCCTCTTAATTACCTCTGTGGTCCTTCACTGGACTCTGGTATTCTTATGTCAGCCTGGAACTGCTCTGCCTAGAACTGGACCTAGTGCTGCAGATGGCATACAAAGTCCTCAGGAACCTTGAAGGTGTGGAGTGTGGGACTGTGTTTTACAGGGACAGCAAGAATTGCCCTGTCCAGTTGCAGATTACATCATAAGGGTGCCTCAGCCAAACCAGACTAGAGATTAAAAAAAAAGAATTAACAAGTGCATAATGATGTTGGTTTTACATGTTTGGCAGTTTGGTCATCTGATTCCTCTTCACTTATCTTTTCAGTTCTTCAAGAATGTCATCCAAACCAATGTTTTCTTCTTCTGACGCACTCACCATTTTGGGTACAAAAACATAAGCGCTCATTCATGACCCTTCTTCTTTTGTTCTCCCCACATCTCTGCAAGACAAAAGTTATGCAACAGTTGGTTTCTGTTACATCTGTCATGTCTATCCCTTTTACCTGGGTATTGAATATTCCCATCTCTTGTTTGTGTACCTCTTTGTTCTACTGTCCAGTACATACACTAAGTAGCTGCAAGGATGAAGGTCACAGGCAGCCCTTACTAAGAAAGAATAAAAGACCTTTTATATCTTTCAGTTATCCAAACATATTTTTAATTTATTTTTTTATTATTGTCAAAAGAAGACATGGTAAACAGGAATCACATGAATACCAGCTCAAATTCACATGTTTCCAGTATTTTTAGTAGCCTTCACTCTGTAAAATCTGTAAAGGAAGAGCAACTGAGGTACAGGCAGATATTCACACTTTGTTGTCACCCAAATAGACATAGAGCTGCACATTCAAACACAAAAATTCTTTCACTTCAGCCCTGGCTTGGGGGATCTACTTCAGAAGGTCCCTCAGAGAGGTCCCTCATTTTGTTGCTAGAGCACCCCTCAATTGAAAAGTGGATTTAAATACAAACACAAGGATGCTGTCTAGAAGGACAAAGTCAAAGGAGGGTTTTATTCAAGCTGTTTGTTCATCCACTCGGCGTAGGAATGACTGAGAATGCCACACATTCTGGATCAGAATAGTTTTCTAGAAATTCATCTTTATTTTATTTATCCTACAGAACAGCCTTTTGCCTAACCAAAGGAGACTATGGAAAGCCATTCTTCTCTTTGCAAAGCCCCTACTTTCTCCTTGCCTCTCATGTTTCAGCCTGTTCTGTTACTGCTTTCTCTGCCTTCCATAGGAATCATCTCCTTCCCAGATGTGTCTAACAGGGAGTAAGAGCCAGGGGATCATGGATCTTTTAATGCTAGAGAGATGTGGGCACTGCTGTGGCTTCTACACAGCCCTAGACATGGGGATGAACAACAAATGTTCCCTGCTGGGCCATCAAATGGCAGCAGCCCCTGACCATCACCTCTCCACACCTATTCAAAGCCATGACCTGGGAATGCAGGAGCTTGGTCTCACAGATTCCTCTCAGAGAAGTGCCTACGTCTTGCTGAGTCCAGTGGGCTCCCTGTACAAGCTCTGAACATCTGAGTACCATCAGACATCTGCTAAGTCGCTAATAAGAAGCAGTTAAAGTATAAAGTTGCACTGCAATTAGCTCAGATTTTGCACATGTCCCTAAACCAAAGAAAATTCCTTTGAATGTAACCTGCCCTCTCATGTGGGCTGGCAGATCATCCACAGCTGACAATGAGTAAAGAGTTAGAAGAATGAAAAGTGACAGTTATTAAGTAACTTCAGTGAAAATTGAATGAAAAACAATCAGCAACTCGAAGTAATAATATTATGCATAAAAGACTAATAAAAATCCTCCCATCTCAGTTAAAGCTTCATTGTATTTGGCATTAAGTCATTAATTTTTTACATTTTTAAGCAGTATAAAAAGATATTTTGCAAGACAGTTCACCAAGATTTATAGCAAAGTATTCGCTATTCATCTGTAATACATGAAACCAGGCCAGGTTGCTATGTCCTAAGGAAATTGGAAAAAGAACCTTATGACTCGTGATGGACATTTTGTGGTGTTTTTAAAACAGCTTGGCATCTCAGCCCAGATCCTAACTAGTTCTGACTGGACAAGGCCAACATTCAAAAACAGTCAGGAGTTTTTGACAGCTCTCACTTAATGACAGAAAAATCGGTTTTTATTTGGAAAATGGCTTTCTGCTCCTAGGTAGTTTCTAGAAATTGCTCTACCCCTCTTCTCTGTACCCACTTTACTAAGTGTTGGCAGAAAAAAAGACATAGTTACAATTGTAGATAATTTAATTTCCCAGGGACCTTTTCTCAGATGTTTGAAAGTCATGGCTGCAGTTTGGTGGTCACAGCAGATGACTGAGAGCTGTTCCCAAATATTTGAACCCAAATGCTTTGTGAGTCCACAGACAAATATACCAGCTTGTCACACAGGGATTCTGGGAAAAGAATAAGACAAAAACAGTCCCAGGGACTGTTGAAATGTCAGCCTTCAATTAATAGGAGGACATGGTAGTTAGAAGATATTTACAAGCAGTAAATATCAATTATAAATAATCTTCCAGGTCTTCTGTACCAGGAAAAACTCAAAACATCAGCACTGCTTAGCTCTGAGAAGAAATTTTTACTCCAGTTAAGACTGATCTGATAAATTAGGTATGTCTCATCATTGCTCTTATTGCCACAAAATATAATCAGAAGGCTGTAGAAGATTTTTTTAGTTACACATGTAGAAACTACTAGTAACAAGAACATCCAAAATCATGATAAACTATATACATTTTTGTATCTATATAAAAACAAGTAAAATCAAATATGCAGAATTAAAGTTGGGGAAATACTTTAATAAACAGCCCTGCCACAATGCTGATAAGTTTTTATGTTAGCCTAAAACTTATAACCAAAATAAAATAAAATAAAATAAAATAAAATAAAATAAAATAAAATAAAATAAAATAAAATAAAATAAAATAAAATAAAATAAAATAAAATAAAATAAAATAAAATAAAATAAAATAAAATCCATTGTTTTTCAGCTTTTAAAAGAAAGTATCCCAGATATAGGATTCTTTTCCAGTTTAAAAAAAATCAGACAAGGACTATGCTTCCTTTTGGCCAAAATGGCATAGGTCCCTGAAGGACACTGCATTATTTTGACACTCATGACAGAAAGCTCCTACAGTTTTTATGTCTAGGTGTGCCATTCTGGAAGAAATTCTATGCACAGGGCATCCTGGGATTGTCCCATACAGTGGTTTTCTCACCTTGAACTTTGCATTTACTCCTGCCAAAAGGCTTTGAATCTACATGGACACTTGCTGACACAAATGGAATAATTCTTTGCTGCAGTGTAGTCCCATTTACTGCATCACATATATTTGTTTTGATATATAGTGCTAAGAAGGGAGCATAGCCAGAAGCCTGCAAGCCTAAGTATCTTGTTCTTCCTAAAACGCTAACCTATTTAGAGCTGTATGGATCCTTTCTTCTAGTTAACCCCTTTTTCCTGCCTCCATAATTGTCCAGGCTAGAGATGGGTCAGAATTATCTATAATGAGTTCTTGCCTTTTCCTGCACTGCTACAGTTTCCATGTTAGGCTAACAATGATGATGTTGCAATTCTGAGCTTCTGTGGTAAGTTTATAGCATTTTTAACATCTTTCTCCTTGGTCTTTGTTACATACTAATGGAAAGAATGCACAATATGGACGAATTATTTAGGCCAAGTACAAGTGATTTTTGAAAGTATAATTCCTCACCATTTTTCAGATAACTTCAGATTAATTAGATCTGAGCTCCTGTGTGTTTGAGAAATGTTTTCTCTTCATCTTTGTGTTCTGGTTTCAGCTGGGAGATAATTAATTTCCTTCTTAGTACTTGTTAAAGTACTCTTTTGGATCTATTATGAGAGTAATGTTGATAACACACTGTTGTTGTTGCTAAGTAAATCAAGGACTTTTCAGCCTCCTGTGCTCTTCCCGCAAGCAGCTGCACAAAAAGACAGGAGGGAGCACAGCCAGGACAACTTACCTGAACTGGCCAAAGGGATATTCCTTACCACAGAACAGCATGCCCAGTATATAAACAGGGGCATTGGCTGGGAAGTGCCAACCATAACTCAGGAATTGGCAGGACATCGGTCAGCAGGTGGTGAGCAATTTTACTGTGCGTCACTTGTTTCTCCTGGGTTTTATTCTTCTCTCTTTTTCTCTTTACTTTTCATCAAGTTTTTAACTCTGTATGAATTATCAAACTGTTCTTAACCTACCAAGAGTACTACCATTTTTCTGATTCTCTTCCCCACCCCACCAGGCATGCAGAAAAACGAGAAAGTGACTGGTGTGGTACTTAGCTGCTGACTGGGGTTAGATCGCAACACTTTGGTAAATGCCTTTCCACCATGCTTATATCTCCCTGTTTAAAATAAAAAGTAAAAATTTCACAAGAGATCTCTGGAAGACAACCTGAAATAATGGCTATTCTCTTTGCACTTTAAGCTGATATGTTCGAGAAGGGAACTGCTGCATGTACAATGCTTGCTGCTTTGACCCTGTGGGAAGAAGTGTCATAGTTCTTAAAATAAATGGCTGCTTGCTTCTTAGGTCACTAATGGAGAGGAAGGATCTGTTCTGTGGCATTTGTAAAAACACAAATATGTTGCCATCACATGAGTGGTTTTTGTCCCTGCCTTTAAACAGGAAACAGTTTTTAGGACTTCCAGTCCAGATAATCTCTTACTCGCATTGCTTTGCTCCTAAACATAAGAGAGTTTTTGTCTGAGAAAGATCTTAGAATCTGGCATTGTACTTTTTTTAGGAGCCCATAACTAGAATTGCAGAGTATATTACCTACACAGATGAGCACTCTAGTACAGTATCCATGCAGTGCCTCATTTTGAAAAATGGAAGATGTATTTTGAAGGGGTACCATGTGATGTCAAACCATGCATTTACATTGCTCCTTCCCTGACAGGTTATGACCAAGTCAAACTGTTCAGGAGCAGGACTCTCTCCTCCCTTGAACCAGGGCCACTCTTGTGAATGACTTGTCCTTTGGCCTTATTCCCATGCTCTTTTAATCTCTGGTAGTGGTGCCTAACATGTGCCAGGAGCTATCATGCTCTGATCTGGTGCAGCTGGGAAAAAGAGCAGGCCAGTATTTCAGTGAAGTATCCAAAAACAATCCTTCTCTCCAGGAGATTTTGCTGATGTAACTGTGCAGCACACTCCACCAGCATATACACAACTCATAATGACTAAGTGTCCAGCACTGCTTCTCCTGGTTGCCCAAGCACATGACCAACTTGCAAGCTAATATCACACCACTAGACTTTAACTTTTGTCAGTATAGAAGTGTTGAAGGAGAAAAGGCAAAAGAGAGAGAAGAAAGCATAAAAACATCAGTGCTACAGTCTTGGGAAAAGTTCCTGACACAGACCTGATCTGAGTCTA